ATAAAGCTCTAAAAGCTAATAGTACTAATTCGAATTATTTTCGTTTATATAAGAATTAGTTAGGGCAAGAGTATTACTAGTAAATTTACTAGAAATATAAATAATCTTGAGATTCTCTAAGGGATATAAATTAGTATTTCCTTATAGCTTATTCTTAATCTAAATTAGCCAGTTATTAAAGACAGTATAATCTCTAGTAAAGAGAGTTAAATCTAGAAGCTTAATAACTCTAGTATTTCTAAAGAAAATATAAGATATAGAAGATTTTAGATAGAAATAAGCGGAAAATAGTTCGAAATTCTTTTAAGAGAGATTTAAAGTAGCTAAAGCAGGCAAAGCAGAAGTAGTTAGAGCTACTATAAGCCGATCTATTATAGCTATATAGTACTTAATATTATCCTCGAGCTTAATATTATAGAGTTTAATATTTTCGAGAATAGCTTTATTATAACTATAGGTATTTTTATATAAAATAGCTCTTTAGACATTTTTCTAATAGCTCTTTATAATAATATTAATATCTGAAAGTAAGATATTAGGTTCTTTAGTCTATTTATATAACTTTCCGGTAATAATATAGTCTTTAGTCTCTAGAAGCTTTATAATAAAAGTAGAGAGTTCTATTTTTATAGACTTATTTATAAATTCTCTAGAAATACTAACGGGATATTTAGTTCAGAAAGGGCCGCTAATAGAATAATCTGAACTAGTAAGAGCTTTACCGGAAGCCTTAACGAAAATTAATATAGTTCCTAGTTATATAGTATTCTAGGAAATTGACTTATTATACTTTTCCTTTACTATATTCTTTCTAGTAATCTTATTACTAGTATATATATAGGGCCTATAATATTATAGGATAGAACTTAAGGATAGTAGTCAGGTTACTAGCCTATAGGTGCTTATTATTCTAGAACTTGGTTAAAGAATAGCCTTTATTTGAGGTTCTTTGATTTTCGGGTTTTCAGGGGATTTCTAATATACTACTAGTATATATTTATAAAGATATAAATATCTAATTCCTTTAAGGATTCTAAAGCTTTTCGCTTTTATTATTCTAAAGTCTATTACTTATATTTCTAAGGTTCCGTTATCTTAGCGGTACCTATATTACTAATAGTTCTAAATTGGTTTATTTGAAATCCTCTATAGAATTAAAGGAAATAAGCTTTAAATATTATTACGAATATAGTATTTAAGGCTTAGAAAATAAGGTAGAAGATCTCTTATAAAGACAATTCAAAGCTAAGAAAGGGAAAACTAGAATATAGAAGGCTATAAGGAAGTATATATATTCTATAATATATTAGTTCTAAAAGAACTTAGCCTTCTAAATATCTCTAGTATATTTCAAGCCTATTTCCCTAGTAAGGCGGCCGTATTATATATATCTAGAAGGCAATAGAATATAGGCAATTATATTAGCTAATAAGATCAAAAGCTAAATTATAATAATATTTTAGATATTTTTTCTTACTTTAGAATATTATACTATAAAGCTTTATTTCCGAATTCTTTACTTATAATTTCTACTTTCTTATAAAAGTTAAATTATAATATCTATACTACTATTTTAGTTATTTATTTATTAGTAAGCTCTAAAATATACTAGAATAAATAGGCTATAATATTAATATAAAAGCCTTTAAATATCTTATAAAATACTATAAATAATACTAGAAATTCGAATAATTACCGGAATAATTTAAGTTTAACCTAAGAAATAATATTAGCTTTAACTACTTTATTATTATTAATATCTTCTATATTTCCGGTAAATTTATACTTTATATTATTAATAAAGGTACTTAATATTAAGCCGGCTAATAGCTTTAAAATATTAGTATATTATATATTTGAAATACCCTAAAATAGTATTAAATTAATATCTATTTAGGCTCTTCTAATTAGATTATAGTAAATATTAGAAAGTAGTTTACTAATAAGAAATTTATTTAATTTATAAATATTATAGAAACTAAGGTTAAAATCATTTCTATAAAAGCTTATAATTCTATTAGAATTATAGAATACTACTATAGCTTAATTTAATATATCTATCTTATTATTATAGCCGAAATTAATAAAATTAATAGAGATACTATATTCTAAATAGCTTTTAAAGCTATTAATAATTCTATAAAATTTAATAGTATTATTTTAACTCTTTTAGTTTATAGTACTTTATTCCGAATAACTAAATATAATATCCTATTACTAATTATATTATAGTAATTAGTAGTATTTAAGAAAGTAATAGTAGAAATTCAGAAGCTTTAAGCTAGATACTAGATTATAAATACTCTAAATATCCGAAATAGTTCTAGTATTACTAATATTTATAAACTTTCCTTAAATTCGGATATTCTTATATAATATAAAGGAAAAACTAATTAATCTAGTAGTTAGAATAAACTATATAAGCTAGTAGCTATTAATAGAGAGAACTATATATTAGCTCTACTATATAGTAATACTACCTTCCGTTTAACTTCTATAAAATTCTTTTATATAGGAGATATTAAGGTTATTACTAATAGCCTCAAACCTAAATCTATTTTTAAACTTTATAATAAGGCCAAAAATAATATAGATATAATTTCTCTTACTATTTCTATTATTCTATTAAAGTATAATAGAGAATACTTATATAAGACCCTAGATATTATAGTATTTCTATAAGATAATAACTTATATAAGAACTTCTATTAAATTAAAATTACTAGCCTTCTAGAAAAGAATATATTTGAGATTACTTTTAGATTTCAGATATTAAAAGAAATATATATTTTTAACTTCTGATTTATTAATAAGATTAAGAATAAAGATATAGAAAGAGAATTTAAGAAATCGAGACTAGTTATTTAAGCTTATAATAATAGTAAGAAATATATAATATTAATATAATTACTTATTATTTAATATATTAGTTAGAGAATTATCTTTAGTATTACTACTATAATAATAAATACTATAAAGTTATATTTATATAATATTTTATAAGTTTATATCTAATTAATAACTTTATTTAACAATAATTTTTATATTAACTTATTTTATAAACTTGCTAAAGAGCTAAATCTAAAGAATAATTCTATTCTAAAAGTTATAAAACTATTATATAATATATTAGAAGCTAGAAATTACTAGTTTAAAACTTACTATTTCTATTATATTAACGAGCTTTCTATAAAATAATTAACTTATAACCCTTATCTTTTCTATAATAAGTAGCTCTTTAAAATTATTAGCCTTTAAACTAATAATACTTTATTTATTAGAACTAATAATTTTATAAAGGCAAAGTAATTAAAGCTCTAAAAGGCTAAATTCTTAGCTAAGAAGTATAAATACCTTACTTTTAACTATAATTTCAAGTTTAATAGAAATATTATTTATATAAATACTACTAGAATTACTCTTATATAGAAATACTAGTATAAAAGCCTCTGAATTATTTCTATAAAAAATACTACTACTATAAATAATAGAGGTACTATTTATTAAGATCTTTTTATTAAGGACTAATATATTACCTAATATACTAGAGAAGTATATATTATATTAGTCTATTAACCAGAAGCTTTATATAATCTATTAATTACTATTTAAGCTATTAAATTCTCGGAAACTAATATAAAGGTATTTAATAAATACATTTAATAATAAATTGAGAATACTATTAGAGAACTGAGATTTATAAAGCTAGTAAAGAAGTTCTTATATTTAATTATTTTTATAGATATTTCGTTTGCAAATAATAGAAATCTTTTTTTCTAAATCAGATATATTCTAGTTCTAGTAAACGGAACTAGATATACTAATATTATTTACTAGAAGTATTCTAGCTTTAGAACTTTATAATATAACTTATAGCTTTAATATAGGCATTTTAGTTAAATCTATAATTAATAAAGTACTAGAAATAAAACTATTACTAGTAGTTTATATAAATTCGAAGTCGTTATATAAATGCCTTATTAAATTAGAAACTACTCGAGAAAAGCATCTAATAATTAATATAATATATCTTTAATAAATATATAAATAATAAGAGATTACAGAAATTAAATAAATTAAAGGAAAATCGAATTCTACTAATTCTATAATAAAATTAAAGCTAATAAATATCCTTAAGTACCTAATTAATATAAATACTATATAATTAGATATAGAGAAATAGATTAAGTATAAATAGAGCAGGAAATAGATATATAAGATAGGAGGATATTATAAGAGAGGAAGTTATATATAAAAGACTATAGTCTTTAGTATATAACTAAAACCTTAGAAGTAATATAGATATATAAAATATTTGGGAAACCTAATATTAGGCCAGATTAGAGAATTTATATATAATTAGAGAGAGGTACTATCTTTTGCGTTTTTTAAAAAGTTTCTAGTATTAGTATAGCTATTTTTTTAGGAGTTATATATATAGTTATAGGATACGGGATACGGGATATAAGTAATAAGATATGAGATATAGGATATAGTTATATAACCTTATATCTTATAGGTAACTCGACTAGTAAACTAGATTCTATTAGGCTTAGCAGATTTAGGAATTATATATTAATACTATAATACTATACTTCTTATTTCTAAATAATAATAACTTTACTAATCTTATATAAATAGCATTCCACGCTTATATAATAGTATTATATATTACTAATAAACCAATAATACTATATATTTCTAATAAACTAATACTATTTAATAAATAAGATTTCTTTAGTTATTTAATAGCTTTTAAGTAAATTATAATTTACTATAATTATATAATAAGTACTTACTTCTATTTATAAATATTTATAAGTATATATTTTACTTTACTCTAATTATTAGAGTATTACCCTACTTATATTCCATTTAATACTAATTATAAATATTTATAAGTGGTATAAATACTATAAGTATTTCTTTTTCATACTAGGGCATACTGGCCCTGGGTTATTTGGAAGCGGAATGGCTCTATGGTAAGCATTAAGTGGTGCTTACGCTGGACGAGTAGAAACTAGTTCTGGTGGTGGTGGTGGTGGTGGTGGTGGTGGCAGTGAAGGGATAAAGGTATTTTCAGATGAGCGAATCTCGCTTCTTTTTGCACCATGGGCGGTGCCACTGGGACGTGCTTCTCCCATGAGAGTACTCTTTGAACTGTCTCATTTTCTAACACTATTTCTCTATTCAATCGGGGTTCTCGGGACTGTTTTGCCCATCGATCAATTCCAGCACGTTTCAAGTCGTCTAACGCCTTAGCACAGGTCCATCCAAATTAACTCACTAACTGTCCCTCTTGACGACTCTGTTAAACTCGGCGATGGCCCTCCTGGCCCTTTCTTCATGCTCTTTCTTGCTTTGGAATTCTCCTCGTGCGATACGCCCCGAGATGTTTGTGGCGGCGTTGAGGTAGCGTCCGAGAGTGTCGGAGACTTGTGTTTGAGGGCCAATACTGAAGGGAAGTCAGACGCTCGTCACTGAAGGCAACTAAGGCAGCTAGCTTAGCTATGAGGCGTCGGGCATTGGAGCTTTGAGAACCACTTGATATCGGGCCACTCACCTAGAGCCACTACCCGAGGTCATGCTTCCCTCGAAAGAGGATGTGTTGGATCGGGCCGGCATAACGTGTGGAAGCGGGAGTGGATCTGCTGATACATGATTCAGAATGGGTATTCCGGTATTTTCGTTTAGGGTCACATACATCTAAGGATAAGTTGTAGGCGATGGTGTTAGAGAAAATAGTATGGACCGTTTGTGGGACAACGATCTCGACGGAAAAGATCTCGTATTTGTATGTCTGATCTCTTCCATTCTATCGCCCATTGCTTTTCGAGCGTATTTCCACTTCAATTGTCGCAGAACCACACTTACGCAATTGAATGCATTTGTCGTCGAACTGTCGCAACGTGTCACGTGCCAGGCAATGCTTCAGCGAGTCAACGCAAAGGATGACTTTTGCAGATTTCTGCATAACTATCCCTGTCAATTCGGCCGCCAAGGCCGCATCGTTGCAATTTCTTCTCACGACGCAGATTCGTTCAATTAATCCGCAATCTTTCCATCGTGTTTCCAGAGTTACCGGTCGACGCCTCGAGTTCAGGATTGAGGCAAGAGGAACCCCCTATCATAAGCACTCACATGTGCCAGTCGCCCTTATCTTTCCGTCATTTGGCACTCAGGACGTCTTCACATGAGAGGCTTTTCGCCCAAGCAATCGCCTTCCAACAATCGCCGCCTTTCCGCTCCATGCGGGCTCCACCGATTTTAGGGCAAACATATCGATGACAATTCAACACCGATATACAAGCATGAGTGCCCAAGGACTCAAGTGTCTTCCTTAGCGCCGCTAAGTTCATCAAACAAGAAACGCCATTTATCAACAGCCATCAATTGAGTATCTCGAATTCCTTCGGTTTCTATCATGTCCTGGATCGGTCAACTATTGAATGGCAGGGATGAATGCATACCCCCAGGACTCTCCCATTCTCCCCGCCAGGCCGCAATTCCTCTGACACCTTCGAGAGCGCCGGTACCTCACGCGCCAAAATACGAACACGGAGGCTTTAGATCTTTGCAGCCAATTCAACACAATGAGTCGCCCACCGAACATGCTTCCCAGAGGATACCAGCACCTCCATCACCGTATACCAACCCACAGAAATTACTGCCCCTCATTATGCCAAACCATCCAACATTGCCCAATATGTTAACGGGTACTGCCAGTTATGGACAGCCCCTGCCCCTGGCATTCAGGCCAGCAACCTCTGCCAGCACGAGGTCTACTATCTCTAGCCTGAGCACGTCTACTCGGCGCGACAGTCTCATCAGCAGCTCAGCTTCAACAACAGCGTCAACAGCAGCTTCAACAGTAGCTTCAACGGTGCTAGACTATGACTATAACTATGAATTGCCTTGCGAATTTGAGTATCTGGGTTGTGACATCTCTTTTCACCCCGACCAATTCGAGGAGTGGATTTTGCACAGCGTCTCCCACTTCGGTACATATGGGCCCCCGCCCAAGACGATATGTCTCTTCTGCGATAAAGCACCATTCGGGGATAAGAGAGATGCATTCTATAACTGGAGAGAGCGAATGCTGCACATCGGCGATCATTTCCGGCACCAAGTGCGGCAAGATTCTGCACGACCTGATTTCTTGGTAATCGAGTACATGAGGAAGAAACATCTAATTTCCCAAGAAGATTATGCCTGGGCCACGAGATATACAGAAAGGCACCATTGTGATGGCTTGGTTCCACTTGGGTATATGCCTCCAGAACTGAGGAGAAAAGAAGAGAAGAGTAAGGAGCTTCCCCATGACTTGGAGAAGGAGGACCGACACAGGAGACGGGAGAGCGCGGGACGGGGGAAAGAGAAGTCTAAAAGTATACATTATCCCGCGACGAAGGCGACACGGTCACTGAACTACCCCTCTCGTTCTCGATCCACTTGGAATGCAAGTCTTAAAGACACAAATCGGCCGCCATCTATTCCAGCACAAAGCAAACCCCAACCATCAAAAGTTAAGGCTGGAACGGCAGCTACGAAGCCACGAACTCTCCCTCTGGAGAAACGTCGACATTCAGCATCCCCAGCTAATGAAACAGTTGCAGAATTCCGATCCGAAGCCATCACCACCCATGTCAGCTTAATGGAGAAAAGCACAGATAGTGTTTCCACTACTTATAGCGAAAGCAGCGCGGGGCTGCTTTCAGAAGTCCAATTGGTATGCTTCCAGAGCAACCCAACAGAAGAATCCGCAATTGTGTCTCGATCCAACTCTTTGACTGACTCTACATGCTCGGAAGACGAGACAGACTGGGAGGTAGACAGTGATGAGGATATGGCGAATATGCACAATTCTTTCAATCCACAAGGCATCGCCTTTGAGGATTCCTTGATTCAAAGTCGATTGACGCCGGCAAAGGCACAACTGGTTGATCGTCTCATGGAAGAATTCTGGGTGATTTTCAGCCAAGTCTGGAAGGCAAATATACAACATCGTGGTTCGGAGTCTGCATCTGCTTCAGGCTCACCATCCAAGGAGGCTGTTTTTTCTCAACCTATATCATCAGATTCCAAGGGAACAAAACGATCACGCCGTAATGCAGACGACGGCTCTGATGATAACAATGGAAGGCGATCGAAACGAGGTGGGAGTAGATCTGAACCTCTAGACATGACGGGAAATTCTGTACGGTTTGCGTGTCCGTATCGCAAAAATAATCCCAGGAAGTACTGTATTCAAAGATACAAGCATTGTGCTCTCAATTCACATGCCACAGTAGCACGCGTAAAGTGGGTGTTATTTCCACCATAAATTGCCCCGAAGCTAACTCAATTCTGCAACCAAGAGCTCATTTATATACTTACCATTCTATCAATCAATGCGAGCGATGCAAAGATCTCTTCAGCACCGTTAAAGAACTCGAGGGCCATACCGTAGCTGAGTCTGGATGCCCGTCGAGAACAGCACATCCGGTAGATGGCATAACGAGGAAGATAAAAGAGCAGTTGCAGTGCAGGAAGAAGGCATATCCGGGCCAGACCGAGTCCGAACGGTGGGCTCAGATCTATGAAATACTCTTCGGCCCGAAGCCCGACGACGTGACGCCGAGCCCCTGTAAGTTACCCATAGCTCTTGTCCCCTCTTCGCTACCGACTTCTCGTCACCACATTTCCCTCCCTTAGACTATTTCCCATGCCTACCCACTAAACTGACATTTTTCCAGATTTTGAGCAAATCCGAGACCTCGAAGAGGGCACAAACAGGTCTCCCGACTCCCGAGGCCTAGCAAATTACGAGGACTACCTCCGCCGTGAGCTCCCCCGCTTCTTCAACAGCGTTCTCCAGAATGCTGTAGGCAGGGAGGTCCAACCCATCGAAGAAAGACTGCGCGGTCAAATGATGAGCTTTCTGGAAGAAGCCCAGAACCGTGCATTCTCAAGCTACAGAGCGATACTGAGTCCTACTCCAGATTCGGAACTCGCACCTCCGGGCGAAGAAAGGATGGCGTCAGATGCAATCACAGACAGAAGACCAACAGCGATTCTGGAGCGGTTCTACCAACCTCCAGCTCCGCAGATGGACAGCGAATCGCTCCTGGACATGTCGGATTTCGGAAAACTTAATCCGCGAGATAACGAAGGGGGCAGTTTCTCCGATTCTGGCTTCTTTTCGAATGCTTCTGGATCTGCCTCCTCCCAACATGCAACTAATGAAGCCGATGTCAATGATCTTGCAAGGTTTCCCTCTGATGACCGACTCCCAGGACTGGCATCACGCGAGGACACGGCACAGTCAACCACAGCTAACATCCTTCAATACGTACCACAAGACGGGACATCTGTCGTTGCCTCGCAACAACGCTGTCACCAACAGGGCCTTGCAGACATGACTGCCTCCGAGCCTCTTTATCCCGAACGCGGGGACGACTCGTCGATGTATGGTGGCGCCTTCATGCAAGCACCACCATTCCGCGACGAGACTTTGACAGACACTTTCAACGACACGAACGTCGACTTCATCAACTGGGACGTACTACCACACGTGGGCGCGGCCGAAGGCCCTTAAGATCCTGATATAGTCACTCTTGCACAGCTTGACAAGATTTCTACACTTGCTCTGGTTTTGCAGCCCATTGAAAAAAAAAGTTCAGTTATGCAAACATGGCTCCCGATGTCGCATGAATCAGAACAAGGAACCTTACAGGTATGTATGTGGGAAGGAGTTTGAGGAGATGGTGGAAATGGCATTTAGGGATTATGGGGAAGGGTGGCCTGAGGGGAGACAACGCTATGGCCCATTAATAAAAGAATGCATAAGAGTAAAGGAAATGAGAAACTGGTGGACCTGCTTATTAGCAGGCGTTTCATAATCTTACCACTCGTCGCGGTCATACAGAGGCCTCACAAGTCATCTAATCTGTGTCCGAGTGGACTCACCACAAACGTGCTTGGTCAGAAGACGCTGAGGAATTTCTTCCCTTGCGCAATTCCATTCACTCACATTCACGACTGACGAGGCTTGAATGCTAAACTGCAAGGTATTCACGGCGATCGGCGAAAAAAATGGAGGGACCGTTTTCAAATTCATCTGCAAAAATTGGTACCGTGTCTCCAATTTTCCCCCATGCTTTCATTTTGTGCTTCGTGTCGGTAGATGCGAATACCTTTGGCCTATAGAATAACCACTTGAGGAGTAGACACATGACCACAACCTCTACCAATACCGTATTATGCAGTCAAGAATCCAGTACTATCGTCAGGGTCAGTTACAGGACGCTCGCCAAATCATATTCCTTCAGTATCCGCGTCCTGCGATCTTACTTGTAGTCAAGGCACCGCTCTTAGGATATATTGCTACGGCTAGAGCCATGTGTATATGCTCAGTTACTCGAACCATCTTATTCTTCGAGTTGCGTGATAAAAGAGGAGGCTGCGATTAGACAGGCAGTCTCGCTTAGGGCCTCGCTTAGCGGGCCGTGAGAGAACTTTCCCTCCCCTTAACTTCCTCGCCTTATAGAAAAGTATGTACTTACTATAGCTAATACTTTATTATAATAAAGGCTCTTATTAAGTTATTCTATAAATATATCTATTTTATAAATATATGTTTAACGGGCTTACTCTAATTATTTAAAACTTAAAAGTTAAGAAATAAGCTCTGAATTTAATTTAAAGGCTTAAGTTTTAATAGATATATATAGATTTAAAAACAAGAAGATAGCGACTGTTCTTTTCTTATAATTTCAGACCATATATATGTAAGAAATACAGGGGCTATAGGAGGCCTTATAACTTTAGGTGTTAATATTCTAAAACGGCTTAGGTTATAGCTGAGATCTGTAACGGTCAGAGATTTATGCTCCTGGTGTTTCGAAAATGGCCGCTCCGCTCTCAATCCATGCCTATAGTCGTTTGCCGCCCGTGTTATTGCTGAATTTGAGGCTGCACAGGATGGGCCTATGCCGTTTGAAGCAGATTCGCGGCCAATTAACTCAAAATTATAGTGCCATGAGCGCTCGGGCATTGTTAGACTTCTCCTCATTACTTATAGTGTGTAGTTCTATAACTCAGAGCAGGCACTAATAACCGTGACCCACTACGATTCTTCTATTAATGGCAAGTCTTTACAAGTAATTAAGTTCTTTAGCCACTTAGATAGTTAGGCAAATATGCGAAAACTGCTCCCTCGTAATAAATTAAGAAATTCTATAATATAAGGTACTCTACTAAAATAGTATAACTCGGATCAATAATTCATAATGAGGGAGCGATTTCGCACATTCGCCCGATTATAGTAACTAAAGACTTGATTAGTCGTGTTGACTGTTCTATTTCAAAGGTTTTCCCGTTCAACTTAGGATTGTGATCCTTCGTCAGGTGAGTTCTCGATGATCTTTGTATTGCTGTCCGTGGTTCTATACTGGGAGGCGGGAATTAGGGAATTATGTCTTGTACTCGCCCTCTTTGCGCATATCACAACACCATGGATTATAGTTTAAAGTTCATAACATGTCTCCTAGATATATTATAGATGATGGTTCGCGTTAATATTTCTGATCCTTTTGATGCAAGAAACGTGTGTTATTTAGCTTTCTCCTACGGATGTTTAGTATTACTTCGCTTTCGTTGGTGGTGGTCGGCAGCCGTAAAGTTTCAAATATACTGCGAATCCTGCAGGATCATCGACCTCCACGAAGTTTATCTAAAATTATCTTCAAGTGAAGATGCAAAAATCTTTGATTTTATATGCAAGGAATTACCCGCTCGGCGAATTCTTACGGCCAGAACGTGGAGTATCCCTCATCACCGCCAACACATCAGTGGGAAGGAAAGCCCCATCCAACTGGGTTCCCTCTTCAACTTCAGGGCACTGCTCTATCCAAAGCTCAATTATTCACGTGCCAAATATTTCTTGGATTTGAGCCGTTGCGGAGCACCCGGACCCTCCCGGGCATCTGGTTTCAATTGAATCCCCGCATGCAAGAATCGTTGTCAAGCTGAATATCCCCTCTCGTCAAGCCACATCTGACATCTCACTCCCAAGATTCCCCAGAAAACTCAAAATAAGAGTATTGGCTACTAGGGTACGACCCCTCTTTCCAGGGTTGCGCTCGGGGCTCTAGACCTATTTCGAGGTGTTTCGTGCAGCCACGTTCGTATTCAGCGTAACACCAGACGCCTCCAATGGCTCCTTCGAAATTTAAGTTGTTCCCTCAGGTATTTGTCAGTTCCTGCAGTCACATTTCGGAGTCCCGTGATGAGGCGTTCCAATCACTAAATGACCTCATGTCACCGATGCTTTTGCGCTTACTTCTTCTTTGACGAGATTGGTAGTTGGGCTGGATGGCGTTGGGCGCAGCAGCTGCCGGTTGAAGTGGAGATGACTTCGCCTGAGTTCGAACAAAATGAGCTCCTCATCGACGCTGCAACAAGTGCTGCAAGCGATCGTTGAGACGGGCCACATCAAGGAATTTTCATCCTCTCACGCAGCCACGATATTACCATTTCCTTGCTTGAATCTCGTGCGTCCTCGGAATGAGAAGAAGTCTCCTATAAGCATGGACATGCCTCTCTCCGTTCCCAAGATCCAGCATTGTCATAAGTAATTTCCATTTCCGCCAAAACGCCATTTCTCAGTCCATAATTCTTCAATCACTTAAAACCGAGGCCAATCAAAATGCATTTCATTACCTTCGCAACACCGGTCCTCCTCCTTTCTAGTGTTCTTGCTGGCGCAGCTATCGAACGCAATAATAACCTCGACTACAACGACATGGACGACCAATTCAATATCTTTAAAGACGCCAATTCCCGCTTCGAAGGCGCAATTTGCAAGAGCGAAATCACTACCAAGTACTTCCCAACGCTTGTAATCCCGCATAACTTCCGAGGTGGCTGCGTTCGCTGTTCGTCTCCATTTTCTCTTCTTTTCCCTTCTACTCTGCTATTACTCTTTACCACTGTCTTCGAAGTATGGCTAATGCATTGTGACAGACTACCAAGGTATTGATATGACCGGTGTAGTCACCGAAGTCGACATCTTCTTCCCCAATGTCAAAACAGCCTGCGACTGCATCGCCGCCTGTCTCACCGCCTCCGCATCTTGCACCAATTGGGTCTGGAAACATACTGGTAATCCTCTCGATGGTGGTCGTCGCTCCTGCACCCTTTATTCCTCCCCCAACTTACCCTCGGGTGTCATTCTGGACTATAACTTGGCATTGAGTTCTGGATTTCAGTTGTTACAAGATGCCAACAATCCTCAAGTTGGTGGGGGAGCACCTATTACCGCTTTGGCGAATGGGCAACCAGATCCATTTGGGGTGAGCGGATTTTTGACGCAGGATGCTAATGGGCTGTTGTATTGCTGAGTGTATACTGGAGATCATGGGAGTTTCTGTATGTCTCCTTTTTTTTTGGGAAATGGAAACAGTTGTAGGCCTTTGGGTAATGAGGCGCAGTACCAACGCTTCTATGGCAGTTGCTCGTCATGACTAATCTTGAGTGCGCAAAACTGTCGGGTCAATTAATGATACTCAATACATATCGTCTTTCTTTCCAAGCACTCCTTCTCCATTCTGCACTGGAAAGATACTCATTCCCCAATTATCCCAAGCTCCATTCCCCCTCGGGTGCGGAATACTTGCCGTTCACTTCGCTCCTTCCTACAACATACTAGTTTCATACCTCCGTTATCTCCAAACGCTTTTATATTATAACTCACCACTATCGGCATGCTTGAAAGAGCAAACAACAAGTACCCTAACCGTCAGGCCGAGTCTGTAGTCCCTCATCTTCCTCCTGACACAACCTCGGTCCGACAAGCCATGGTTTATGAATACAAAACTTGAGGGAACAGTGAAGAGAGGTGGGAGGGGGTCGGATAAGACGACTCCTTGTCATTGTTCGGGCAATTGTCACTTTATTCTTCGTGCAGCTTCCAGACGGGGGATGTTTAGTTTGTCGCAGATCTTCCCTTTTCATTGAATTTTGAAATCTAGAGAGCGTTGAGGAGGGTAGAATTTTGTTGGGCGTTGAAACTCAGGGAGAAGGGTGCTGGCCCGTGTATTAGGAAAAGCTGTTGTATTCTTTCCACCGACGAAAATACTCAACCAACTTACATCCTAATAAGCAGGTACCGGGTAGAAGCATCCTCGAACTCATGTTTCCCACGGTTGTAACTTAAAATAATAATAAATTATATATAAAAGAAATATTTCTAAAAATTATTTAATAGAATATAAAAATATATAACTAAAAAGCCGAGTTTAGAATTAAAATAAAAAATATAATAAGTTTTTAAAACTAAAAAGCTCGAAGTAATATAAAGAAAAATAATATAAATTATATAATAAATAAAGAAAACTTCTAATAGATACTAAAAGAAAATTCTAAAGCCTAAAACTAGTTTTTAAAAATATATATAAATATAAATTCTTTTAAAAAAATGTATTATATTAATTTATATATATATATAAGTATTTATATAATAGCTTTTAATTATAGTTTAATAAGAATATATTTTAAAATAAAACTCTATAATAATAAAAAGATTTATAAAATCTTTAGGCTTATTAAATAAGCTAGAAAAATAATAATATATTAAAATATAGCCTTTTAAGCTAATATATAAATATTTTTAGCTATTTTATAATAATAAATAATATATTCGAATTCTTGAAATATTTATAAAAATAAATAAAAATAATATTAATATAATTAAACTTTTAGTAATATTAAAAGAAGTTTTTATATATAAAATATATTATTAATAAATAATATAAAATAAAATATATTATGAGAAAATAATACAAAATAAAATATAAGAGCTTAAGTTTTAATAATAGTTTTATTTTATAGTCTAATTTTTATTTCTTATAATATATAAAAAGTTTAATATTATATTAAATTTTTTTATAATATTATTTAAAAATTAAATAAATTTCGCTTATTATTAGTTCTAATATAAAACTAGAATTATAATTTTAGGAAATACTAATATTAGTAAACTTATTTATTATTTTATTTTCTTTAATTTTAATATTATAAGTTTATATTATTTCTTAATAATTATAGAAAGCCTATTATAAGTATTCGAAAATATTACTTTATAAGTATTAAATAATTAGAGTATTATTTATATAAAATATAATATAATACTAGCTAATTTTCGAGAAAAGATTCTTAATTATATAATAAAACTTTTTTTAAATATTAATAATTCTTATATTAAAAATATAAAGAAATATATTAATAAAACTATAATTTTTAGTAATTTAATAGCTATTTTAATAAATAATCTTATTATATTTAATAGACTTTTTTTTCTTTTTTTCTTCTTAGATTTATTTAAGAAAATTATAATATTTTTTAATAAAAGAATTATTTATTAGATTTTAAAATTAGCTTATGTTATTATATTATTAACTTTTTTTATAAAATTAATATAATAGCTAGTAAAAAAATATATATATTATTAGCCTAAAATATAAAATACTAGAAAATAGAATTTTTAATTATTAGATTTTTATTTTTAAATATTAATTAATACTAATATATTTGCCTTTAATTATTAATAATAAAATAATTTATTAAGCTAGGAAATATTTTTTATTAATTATTTAAAGCTATATTATAAAGTTTAATTTTAGTCTTTTAAATATTATAATAATTTAAAAAAAGTTCAGAATCCCGAAATAATATAATTCTTTAATAAATAAAAATAAGAGTTTTATTAATTATATTAATATATTATTTAATTTAGATATTAATTATTAGATTTCGGTTTTAATAATTTGTATATAATAGTTTAATATAATTTATATATTATATTTTAGTATTATAAAATATTAAAAATAAATTATAAATTATAATAGCTTTTCTAAAATATAATACTAGTAGTTTATTTTTAGCTCTAATAAAATCTCAAATATAACTCGAAACTTTATAAGCTTTTATAGCTTATTTAATAATATAATATTTAAATATAAGCTTATAATTAAATCAGATATTTAGCTAATAAAAAATAAACTAATTATTTATTATAGAAATAATAGTAATTAATTTAATTATAAGGTTTTTATTAATTATATATAATAATAAATTATTATTTTATTTATTAAAAAAGTAAATTATTTTAAGTTTTTTAAATATAAAAATATTATAAATATTAAAGGCTAGAAAAGTAATATTAGTATTTAAGAAATATAAAATATAATATAAATATATATTATTAATATATTTAAAGTATAATTCGGGGTTTTATATAATTAATTTAATAAAATAAAATATATAAATAATTAGTAATAATATTAATTTTTAGGAAATACTATATTTAATATTATAATAACTAATAGTTTTTTCTCGAATCTAATTTTAACTTTTTAATTTATAAAAAGCTATAAATAAATTAAAATAATAATAGTAATTAGTTTTATTTAATTATATAAATAAGAAATCTTTTAATAAAAAGAATATTAAAAGCATTTTAAATATTTATAATAATTATTATTATTTATTTATTAGTTATTATAATAGCTTTAATATTATAAATAAAAATAATAATAAAATCTATTATTAAATACTTTAGAAAATATTATAAATAAAGCAATTTAGGCTATATATTTAATAATAATTCTTTTAAAATCTTTTAAAATATATAAAAATAATATAATTATTTTAGTAAGTTTTTATAATTATAGAAAATAATTAAAAGCTAAATATTAGTTATAAAAGCTATAAATAATATATTTAATAATATTTTAATATAACCTAAATAATTTAATTATAATATAATTCATTTTAGGAAAAGTATTTAATATACTAATAATATATTATTTTATATTTTTAATAGAAATAATTTAATTTCGGGAAAGATTTCTAGTTCTATTTAAGATTATTAATTATATTAAAGTATTCGAGAATTTTTATATAAAGAGCTTTTATTTATTATATTATGTCTTTAATTTAAATACTATTAATTTCTAATAATAAAGCTTTAAGATTAAAAGCTAGTTTATATTAATTAATAATTTTATAAAAGTTTTTATTATTTTTAATTTTATTAATTTATTATTTCTAGTATTTTTATTTAGTTTTATAAACTATAATTAGAAACTTTCGGGTTTCTTAAAAAACTTTATTTATATAAATTCTATTATATACTAATAAGTATAATTAATAGGCTTTTTTATATTTTAATATTTATTAAATAGCTAGATTACCTTTATTATAATCTGATTTATTAATTATCTAAATTAATAAATTAAAATCCTTTATTAATACTTTTATATAGCTATTAAATTATTTAAGACTTATAATATTTTAAGAATCTAGAAGTTTAGCTAAGCTATTATTAACTAATTTAATAAACTTAAGAAAATTATATTCCGGAATTTAATAATAAAATTAATTTAAAGAAATTATAATTTAATTAGAAATAATAATAACTTGTATTTTATAATTTGAATTATAATATAAATTAATTCGAATTAATATTAGAAAAAAGTAATTATTTATAAATATTAAAAATAATATATTTATTAATATTAGTCTAGAATAAGTTTTAATTATTAATTAGGTAATATTATTATATCTTAAATTTAAATTCTTTATATATATAAATTATAATACGGGGTTTTTTAATTTTTTATTTAATAAAATTTTTACTATTTTAAGAATTAATTAAAATATAATAATTAAAGCCCGAATAGTTTTAGATTTTAGTTTTAAAATAAATATAAGGTTTTTAAATATAAACTATATTTATATTTTTAATAAAAGTAAACTATAAAATTATAATATAATAAAAGCCTTTTTTATTTATATTTATATAATAAATTTCTAAATTTCTATTTCTAAACTATTATATATAATATAAGCTATAAGGCTATTACTAGCTTTTTAATATTTATAATTCGAGTTATTAAAGTTTTTATTTATTATTATAGTTTATTAAAAATAGCTATTAGAAATTAGATTAGAAAAAGAAAATAATAAGGAAATGGAAATAATTTAAAAGAATTTTTTTTTATAATTAGTAATTATTATATTCTTTTATTTTTTTATTTTTATAATATTAATAATAACTAGACTTTAGACTTATAACTAAAATTATAAATTAGTAAATACTTGTTTTAAAATAAATATTAAAATAAATACTAGATTATTAAATATTTATTAATTATAAATAATTTAATAATAGAATTTATTTAGTTCTTTTTTAATTAGTTTAATAATTTTATTATTCTTTTAGTAAAATATTACTAAATAATATTTATATTTAGCCGGAAATAATTTATAATAATAAATATAATATATGTTTTTTATATAATTTATTTTAAAGAGGCTAATATATTAATTAATTCGAATATTATATATATTATAGTAAATATATTTAATAAATTTTACGGGATTATAAAAGCCTTAATAGCCCGAATTATAACGGGATATAGCTGTTTTTTTATTAATAGCTTTTAATAGTTTACTAGTATTAAATAAATAAATAAAGTAAATAGAAATTAAAAAGAATATAATCTAAATAGTTTTATTAATTTATAAATTTGAGCTATAATATAAAGATTAATAGCTAACTAGCTATTTAGTAATTTGAACTATAATTTCCCTTTTAATAATCTCGGTAATATTAATTATTATAGCTATATTAAGTCTCGAAATAAATTAAAAATTAAATAAAATACTAGAAATAATACAATTATATTAGATTTCGGGCTATTTAATAGATTTTATTCGGAAAATTCGAGTAATAATTTCGATATTCTTTTAAAAACTAAAAAGATTCCTAATAAAAAGATTAGATAATATAATGGCTTATTGAATTCGAGTTAATAAAATTAGTAAAACTAATACTAAAATAATATTCGTAATTTTAGTAATAAGCTCTTAATAAAATATAAAGAATTTCGGTTTATTTAATAGAGCTTAAAGCTTTATTAAAATTAGAAAATAGTAATTTTCTGTTTTTTTCGAATTTCTATTATTACTATTAGCTAAAATAAAGCAGAAAGAGAAGATAAAAAAGGCTTTTCCGGATATTAAAATAAATTAATTTCTAGAAAAGAAAATAAAGCTTAATTTATTAGATCGAGATTTAGTTCCTAACTTTTACGGGATTTTTATAATATTTATTTAAATAACGGATTTTGCTAAATTAGTTATAAATATACTAGAATTTAATAGGTTTTTAATATAAATTAAGATATAAATACTAGATTTAATAAAGAAAGAGTTTATAAAATAGTAAACGATTTTATTATATATATCTTATATAAACTTATACTTATTAGACTTATTATAGTAGTAAAATTATATATTATAATATATAAGATATAAGCTTTATATTCGAGTATTTTAAACTAGCCAGAAATAGCCTTAGAAGTAATATTATAGGTATATATATTATTACCTGAGTTGAGATAAAAAAGAAAATTAATATTTAGTTCCTTCTATTTCTTTAAAGTATAATTAAGGTTAGTAAAAGAGGGGAATTCTTGCGGGTATATAAAGTCTGCGGTTTGGGAGGCGAATTATAAGGAATTTGCCCGAATAGGGGTAGAAGATAATATTATACCTAAAATAATACTTAGAGTACTAGGAAAGATGAAATGAGGCCTTAGAAATCGATTAGAATGATTTTTATATGCCCTTAGGGCGTGGAACAAAATTTATCCAGCAAACAGTAAGTTTGGGGAAAATGTTATAGGTGCGCTTATCGGATCCGTAGGATCGTGGAAAGCCTACTATACCGCCCCCCCCCCCCCTTGAATGAGTATAGTGGGCCCAAGCATACTGCGTACTACCACCCAAGCACTGCTCATCTCAAGGGTCTCCAGCGAATAGTACTTCTCATAAGCACCTAATACTCTCTAACTCGGGGATACAAACGAGGTTTCAGGGTGGCGTGACCCAAGGGCCCACTGTAATCATTTACGGGGGGTTATAGAAGGGGTTGTCACGTGATTTCCAACTGACATAAATAGCCTACTGCCCCTCATCGTCAATTTCCCATTCGTCGCTCTACACACCATCACAGCGTTCCCGGTCTGTTCGACCCGGCATTTGAGGAGAGGATTGGCCATAAGCTGACCTTTGGATGATCTCGTTCCCAAAGGATCCAAGCGCCGCGTCATTCCCCAAAGTTCCATGCTCTCCTTGACCTGGGGGTAGATGAGGTTATTGGAAAAAGTACAAAGCCGTCCTCACTCACCTCAAGTCATTATGTCGGACTACGAGTTGGCAATCCACCGAGAGACCACCCACAGATTTCTCCGACTCTTTCGTCACCCCTCGGAAGCACCAGAATTTTTTAGAGCCGTTTCCGCCGGCACAAGAGATTACTACGCCGCCCGCGACGCTGTGGACCTGGAGCGTGCCCAGATTATTCGCCTGCTGTCATACTCGCGCAGACTAGCCCTTACAATGGCTGGAAGCACGCTCATCTTCAGCCTGCTCTTCTTAGCGGCCATGGTACGCGTCTTTTGATCTGATATCCCCATTTTGAACCCATATCCGCTGTCAAGCGGCAATAGACCTCAAAGTCTGCTATTCAACATGCAAAGTGCACCGCTCTTGCACTTTTGGCTCAACCCTTTCCTTTTCGAGTCAATCTTTCGTCGCTGGGACGTGGCTATTGAAGGAAAGACTGACATCGAGACTCGCAGATTACCCGCACCCGGGCCGACCCGTAGACGCCCGAAGACTTCAACTGGGCCGCACTCTCAGCACTTACGCCGTCACAGGAACAGTGGCAGGGCCTTAACGATAACCTTTACCGAGCACCTTGAGGAGACGCACGCGGCTCTGCGTGAGCTCGGGCCGCAGGACGTGATCGAGGGCCATGAACTCGTGTTCCTCGCTTTCCTCGCCGGCATACGGAAAGCCGTAAGGATCAAGTGATCAAGCGATTTTCGAATCCGGTTTTCAATATCTGATTTGTGGCACGTGTGCACCCTACCAAAAATCGCCCGTAACCAAAATACCGCATTTTGCATATATAACTACTATTATACTCGTATATATAACTTATATAGAGGTAGTCAAAATAAAGCTATTCGTAGTTACTAAATATACTAATATTTGTATTTATCTTTACTATAATATCTCTAGTACCTCCTTTACCCCTGCCCCTACTTCCGCCCCCCTTTCTTAACTATTATTAACCCCTCTTTAACTTATATAGTTTATATAGTAGATTCCATAAATTGCGAGGCATACCTTTCTTACTATTATTATCCTTACTATTATTTCCTATAATACTCGAAATATCTCTATCTCTATTATTCTCTTTATTCTTATTCTTACTCTCTTTATTCTTATTCTCACTTTCTTTCTCTCTCTCTTTCTCTCTCTTTATTAGTCTCTTTGCTTTATTACTTTATTTCGAGAATATTTATAGCTTTAAAGGTTAAGATTTTATAGAGGCTAACTTAGGAAAAACTAGATCTTTTAATACTATATTAAGGTAATATAAGATATATACTTTACTACTATTATTATATCTGTAATTATAATAGGCTTAGTCAAATTTGCCCTAAACTTATATATACTCCTGCTATAGGCCTTTGGGGTTCTTTTTCGTATAATTAATACAAGATATAAGTACTAAATAGCCTCGAATTTAATTATATACTGCCTCTAGATTTACTATAATTTTTAGATTATTTAAGTTAGCTAGCTTCTTTCTAGAATAAAACTTTATATCTCAAACCTCTAGTATTTTATAGATATTCTTTATAACTTATATTATCTTATTAGGAATATTAAAAAGCTCGAGATAGAACTATTTATTAGTAGTAATAGGAGGAGGTTATAAGGTATTTGAGAAAAAGGGAAAGTTTAGTAAATTTAATAAATTATTATTCTAATATTTAATTAGTACTATATTCTAGTCTTTTATATAGGGAAAGTATAACTTACTACTTCTCTATAATTCCTTAAGGCTTAAAGCCTTTATACTCGAGCTATATTATATTACTTATCTTTACTAGACGGGTATAGGTTATTAATATTATTAATATTATATATATTATATCTTTTCTTTTTTTTAAGGACTTCTTTAGTAATATAATAAAGAATTATATTTACCTTATAGTAGGAAAGAAGACTTAAATAATACTTAAAGGAAGAAGAAAAGAAATAAAGAAGAGGTTGAGTATAGTATTATAGTTAAGAGAAAAAGGCTTAATTAGAAGAAAAAGAAGGCCTTTTTATAATATCTTCTTTCCGAGAAGTAATTGCGAATTCGGAGTTATTTTTATATTATAAAGGCCTAAAAAACATAAAAGAATAGATTTATAAATAACCCAGAAGATCGGATTAACTTTTCTAAGCTCTTTATCTTATAAAGTAATAATAAATTTGCAAATAGAGGCAAAGATAAGATTAATAAGCTAACTAGAAAATAGAATTAACTTTATAAGTAATAGTATTTGCTATACTAGTACTACTTTTATAATAGGGAATTATAGGATATAATTCCAGAACTAAATAGCAGGTTAGGTAAGCTATATCTATAGCTTTACTACTGGCATAATACTAGGATATAGATAAAGAGTTCCTGGTTAGGCCTAAAAAGTATAGGATTAGGTTAGGAAGCCTAGATAACTTTGGAATTATATAAATAGTAAGTTACTCTTTCTAAATTTTATACTAGTTTCTCGGATCTAGGAAATTACATAATTATATAATACTAAAAATAAGCTTTCTTTATATATAAAAATAGAAATATTTGTATTATTTAATAATCTAGATAATATAATATAAAAATAAGACTATATTTAAAACCCTAAAATATAGAGCTATTTCTATATAAAATTATAATTATAATTACTCTAGTAGTTATAATACTATATTTTATATAAATATAAAAGTAAGGTTTTTATACTAGTATAAACTAATATTTAAAGAATTATATATCTCCTTCCCTTTTTTACTTTTTATTTCAAATTACTACTATTATAACTTGTAAATTATACTATATTATAGGAGCTAATAAAATTAATCCTTAATTATAGGAACGGTATTAAGCTTAAATTAAAGAGCTTTATTATATTTAAAAGAAAACTTTTTAGGATATTAAATATATTTTATAATTAGAAAGGTTTAATACTAGTAAGACTAGCTATATTACTTAACTATAATAATAGAATATTAAACTTCCTCCGGATTAATAGTAAATAAAGCTTAAGGGATATCTCCGTAATAAGAAGCTAGTTAAGATAGTATATTATTTCTAGTATTAGAACTATTTACCTAAATATATACTTCGGATCTTTAATTATAAACTTAATTATCCTAGGCTTAATATATATACCCTGAAAATAATTTGCTACTATTATAAGCTTTAGCTAAGACGAAATTAATTTAATGCCAAATATATTAATATTCTTAAGAAAGCTAAAGAATTTATTCTCAAGAAACTAAAAAGTAATTAATTAATCCGGTATAGCTATAAAAGAATATATTATTAGGTCTAAAAGAATACTAGTAAATTTATATCTTATAAGGAAATATAATAGATATTTAGGATATTAGACAAGATAAGAATAAAGATATAAGATAAGTATAAGGACTAGAAATATAAGAGATTTACTATAAAAGAGCCAGGTTAATATTAGTCTATAGATAGATATAATAAGTTATCTTATTACGGCTTTCAAATCTATAGTATTATTAATATATATTCTTAAATAATAATTAGTATTTTTATTAGTATATTAAATTATATATAGATTACTATCCTAAAGTTCTACTTTCTTTATATTAGGGAATAGGGCTACTTTCCAAAAAAGTTATAAGCTAATAAAGGCTAAGAGATACTACTTATAATAATTATATAAGTCGAGCTCTAGTAATTAGTAAAGGGTTATAATTTACTATAGAAAAAGGCCTTTACTTACGGGCCCTTAATAAAGAATTAGTATATTAAGATATAGTAAAATACCTTAGCTAGTAGGCTTATAGAGATCTAGAAACGGTTCTTTAAATCTTTTTATAATATAAGTATTTTTAATAAAGAGTCTTACTATAACCTAATTACTATTTAATTTATTTATATAGATATTCTCTACTAATAGATTAATAACTTCGTCTTTCTTTATAATATTAGTTTAATTCGCTCTTAGTAGGCAAGGGCTAATTACCTCTGGCCTAGAGTTCCAGAAAAGCTATATAATTATTACTAGGAAGTTCGTTATTATAGTACTTTCCTAATAAGAGTAGCTAAGTAATTATTTTCTGAGCTTAAAAAAGAAGTTACGGGATATAATTATATAGTATATTAAACTTCTGAAATTAAAAAGCTTTATATAACTTTTCTTAAAAATACTAGTATTATATATATTATAAATAAGCTTAAAGCGGGGCTAAATTAAGACTATATTCGGGCATATTAGTTCCTTTATTATACCCTTAAACTTTATAAGAAAAGAATTAGAAAGCTTTTATTTAATATTAAGCTTCCTTATAAGAAAAATAAGTAGTTAGAAATAGTTTAAAAAATAGAATAGAAACTAGAAAATGCAATTATAGTAAATCGAGAACTAGGAAATATTAAAGAAAATAATCTTAATAATAAGGTTTCTATAAATAATAAGGAGTAATATAAAAATAATTTAAAAAATTTAGAAAATAAGGGAATCTTGAATAACTTGTTTAATAACTAATATTTAGGCTATAAAAGTTTATTTATACTAAGTTTCTTAAAGGTAATATTATAGCTATATATAAAGATATAATTCCTTTAAATTAATATAAGGAATTATATAGTTATATAACTTTATAGAATTAGCTAGCTATAAAAATACCCTAAAGCCAGAAACTTATAAAAAGTCTTAAGGGCTTTAGGGCATCCGGACTATTACTAGTACCTAGTACTTTTTAGGAAAAAAGTATAATATATTTCATAATAGGTAACCTATTATAAACTACTTAATCTTTAAGTTAAGCGGGAAATCTAAGGGCCGGGCTCGTAATTCAAGTTTTATTAAGATTATTAAAGTCTTTATTAGCTAGTATTATAGATTTAATATAAATATTACGGGAATCCTATAGGTTCTATTCTAATTTATCTAGAAAACATATATAATACGTCTTCTTATTTATTCTAATATTTATATGCAATTCCTGAAAGCTAAACTATTACCTAAAAAAAAAAAAAAAAGGCTAGACTAATATCTTTAAAAACCAAGGCCTTAATAAGTCTATTTAGAAAAGCTTACTAATTCTTCTAAAAATAACTCAAGCTTTAATAGGCCAGAAAATTTTGAGTTTATTATATATTATAACTCATATAACTAGAAATAGGAACTTAAGTTTATTATATGAAATTACCCAGATATAGAGATTTCTATTATAAACTCCTCGTTTAAATTAATTAATTAAATCTATTTTTAATACTAAGTCTTTATTAGGGCAACTTCTCGCTTCTAGAGGCTTTAGATAAAGTAGCTAATAAGTTTCTTAGTTATTAGCTAAGATTTATTAACTAGAAAATCTATAAGTAGTAAATAAGATTATAAAGTAAAACTTCCCTAACTATAATACTAAGACGTTTTACTATAATATAAAGTAATTAGATATAAAAGCTCTATTAAATATAATATATCTCGAACTACAAGTTTATAAGATAGATATAGGAAATCTTAGTACTTAACTAGTACTATAGTCTAGCCTAAAGGCACCTGCTATTCTTTATATCTAATTTAATAGAAATAAGAAATACTTATACTTTAATTCGAGGAATAATTAGAACTTTTATATGAACTTAGGGCAGTG